TTTTTGGATGACTTTGTTAGATGAACAATGTTAAAAAAGAAAAAAAAGAGTTTGAGTTTATAAATGCTACGATCTTGAAACTCGCAAAATGAATGGTCTAGATTCGTTTTTGGAGGGCACTCATTTTGACCATATCTAAAGTTCAAATTGAACTTTTTTTTTTGGGATTGATTATTGAAATGAAGAAAGTGTGTGCAAAATTCGGGGTCATAAAAATACCACAAGGTTTTCTAGAAGTCTCGTTTCATTATAATATAATACAACCGTTACATTGGATCATTGTTCTATAGTTCAATAGTTTTGATATATCGATACAATAACCACAACTCATAATCTTATATTTTGATATCTTTATATATCCATTCTTTTCACTCCATTTTTTGAGTCGCATCCATAATTAGCAAGTCAGGGAATAATAATATATCGGTCAAGTAAAATATCGGCAATAAATCAATTTTATTTAAAAAAATCAGAGGAAAATATTGGGCAAAAAATACAAATATATTATAGAATAAAGTAAGTTATAGAATCATTAACAAAAAATAAAGTAAGTTATAGAATCATTAATATTTCGGGTTTGGCTCAAAAAATGGAGTGAAAAAATCAAATACGTAACGATCAGACAATATAAGATTATGATTTGCAGCTATTGTACATATACATTAAAACCATCGAACAACAATTTTATGACCATACCTAGTGTCATTAGAGTTCTACATGATAGTTTTTCATCTAAACTTTTAATAAATTCAATAACAATGCTTAATTTCTCGTCACAACACAAAATATATCATAGATTTATTTGGAACATAACAAATGAAACAACAATAATACTAAGCACAAGAACTACATTAGTAAACAACAAAAACTGTAAACCAAGGTATATGATTATTGTTTAAATGAAAAATGAAAAAACCCTTAGTATAAGATTATAATTAACTAAAATAAAACACAAAGACCCAAATATGTAAAATAATAGTCCACATAAAATGGTATGATTTATACTCCAATGAAAGGAACGTTGCTCAAGCAAATTCAAATCTTACATCAATTCCTAGCTGCCTAAATCTTTAGTATCATTAAATCTCTCTTTGCTTTTTATAAGGACGCTCAAGGTTTAAAGAGCGAAAAAAAAAAAGAATTTTCATTAGGCTATTCTTCTTCTAACACCTATTATTTTCAGATGTACGATTGTTTTGATATCTTACTTTTTTGAGGAATATATTGTTTTAATTTTTTGGTACACGTTTTTTTAAAGGAACGTATCGGTAAAATTATAGATGAAAGGTTTCGTTAAATCAAGTATTAATATGTCAATTTTTAAATCAAAATTCGATTATATTAAGTTAATGAAGAAAATAAGTAATAGAAAATAGGCTTTTTGAAACTTTTGCTTTTTAAAAGAAAGAATATAGATTTATATCGGTTCCATCAAAAACCCGTGAACTTTTTAAAATATTTTGAAAAACTCAAAGTTCTTAACAGATTTCAAAAATCGGAAATTTTTTGAAAAAATCATGTTTTGAACAAAGATTTGCTACTCACATCTGAAATATTCACAATTATCTAACTTAATCTAATTTTTGGTGATTTGCATTTTTGCCTCCATTTTTTTTGGAGCAAATCCGATTTATTACAAGTATTTTGGTAATGCTGATACATTGTTCTTTGCCAACTTGCTAATATCAAAGCTATCTCACCTGGAAGATGAACGCACTTTGACATGAAAATATGAAACTTTTACTTATTGGAACATGTTAGATGCTGAAGATGGCAGTTTATATGTTGGAATGGAGTAAAGCTGCTGAAAGGAAACCCAAATACTTAGGAGGGGAAGCAAATTCCCGTACGGAAAATTCACCCATGGAGACAGGTGATTGAGTACTTCCAATTTCTAGTTATTGCAAAATATATCCCAAGTTTTTTATTTATAACATCACATACCAATTGAAATCATGTCACCAACAAAATGGGAATGTTAAAGTGAAGCACGAAAAAAGAAAAACCGACATTCATGGATAATAGACTTTCACAATGACAAAAAGGAAAACCCATGAAAATACAACTCCCTCCCTCCCTCTCACACAAATGCATGGTCATGACCACCATAGGTGTTTCAAATGTCTCTTGATTTTTTCAAAACCAAAAGTCGAAATCTAAATAGCCGATGACCAAGGAACCATGTGCCATGGGGGTCCAATCAAACCAATGATGAACTAATTTCATGGAGATAAACTCAAGTCGATAGAAGTAACCATTATTAATTCACATAAAGGACGGGGGGAGGATGAAACACCCTTGTAGAGAAACTCAAGTCCAAAGAGGGGGCAGAGAAACTCAAGTCGATAGAGGGGTAAATATTGAGGGTGGCAACAGGCCGGGCCTGGGCCCTGGGCCAGGCCAGCATCAGCCCTGGCCCGGCCCTTACCCCCAAATGACAGACCTAAGCCCGGCCATGGCCCTATTAGCACCGGGCAAAAGAAAATAAGGAAAAATAAGAGAAAAAACAAGAAAAAGGGAGGGCAGGGCCAGGCCGCCTGGTCCATTGCCAACAGGCAGGAGGACACAACGAGAGAGAGACACACACACACCCATGTAGAGAACTAATTTCATGGAGAGAAACTCAATTCGATGAAGGTCATCATACTATTATTAATTCACATAATAAAGGATTGGGGTTTTTTTTTTTTTTGGGGGGGGGGGGGGGGTTGGGTTGACACACCCTTGTAGAGAAACTCAAGGTCGACATAGGTAGACACACTATTATTAATTCAGAGGGGAGACAGAGAGAGAGCCATGAACTAATTTGAACTATCACAACATAATCAATCAAGGAAAACACTACTTGAAATTGACTTCCAATTGGTTTCCCTTTGACATTGGATTTTATTAAAAACTATGATCAAACAAGAATAGTGTTTAATATTCAATACATATGTATGGGTGTTACCTATGATTGGACTCGGCATCTGTAATAACCTTTCTAGGCTTGTTTTTCTTCTGCTGATACTTGGCGTATGAATACCACACTCCACCAGAAGTGTTGATGACCAAACCAGTGACATTCAGAGCGTGGACTTCAACTCCTCCGAGCAAAACGAAACCAAGGGTCTAGAGAGAGAGGGGGGGAGGAGAGAGAGAGAGAGAGAGCATCAGCAGACATGTTTAGGTCTTATTGATGCAATTTGAATCGAGAGTTCAGCACGACAGTGAAAATTAATTAATGGTGAATGGGAAGTATATGGGCATAAAACAATGTGGCGGTTGGGATCACAACTTTCCCATCACTATGTTGGATGGTGATGGAGTGTGCGGGTCCCAAACATGCCTTCAATTTAATTCCACAACCCACTCTCCCTCAATCACCCTCCCCATGGATAGGACAGCAATAAACCTAATTACCATAGTGTCATTACTAGATAGATCAAGAGAAAAAAAATCTCATTATTATAGATCATAGCACACTTATTCATGGTTTTCAATGCTGAGATGAATGCTTACTGTTGACCCGACACCCTTGAGAACCCCAACAATAGTTGTTGTCAGAGCAGAGTTGACAATCGTACACCAAAACATAGTGAAGTTCAGAACGATTCCCATCACCATTGAAAGAATAAGAATCACAGTAAATGACAAAGAATTGGCCTGTAAAAGGAAGAGTATCTGGTTAGGATCCAAAGCCTAAGAAAACCCATTTGTAAATTATACACTAATGGTAGATCTAACCAATAAACCATAAACAGATCAATGCATGTTTTGTGTGTGTGTGTATGAGAGAGAGAGAGAGAAGGAAGGATAAGGCTTTGTTTGGATTTGTTGCAGCTTATTTGCATAATGCTCTCAATCGCCTTTTGAGTGACCTGCACAGTTGAGAGAAAAAGGGGTGTGATGTATGTAATGCAACTTATTCGCACCATTTTGCATGACAGGGGGCATAGAATTGTGTCACCCAAACCATCGTTGACTGCCAAAACAATCTTACACATTACATCCCATAAGCCATGCTAGTAATCGTTTCTAAACACAGCATCCCTTTAAAATTCTAAGTTTTTTTCTAAGCCCCCTTTAAAATTCCAAGTTCTTTTCTAAGCCCCCTTTACCACCTATATCCTAACACTACATGATCATTCTTACAGAATAATACTCCAACTCCATCTTAGAGAAAAATCTATATTAAAAAACAAAAATAATCAACACAATATGTATGGCTTCATAGTCAATATAACAATAGGTGTAAGTTCATAGTTAATTGAGCGCATAAACTATGCTCCCTAGTGAGGATACTGCACATCTCCTCTCTCGCTCACAATACCTATTTAGGAGAATTTTCTTAGTCTAAAAGTTTGGGAAACACATAAAATTACTCGATGATTATTTTTAAAAGAAGAATTTGAATTGTAAGTTTTGTGACACTTAGATCTAGCCCTTCAAAAATTGGACGGTCTTGAGGCATAAGTTTTTAATAATACATAAAGAATTTATTTCAGAAATTATTATTTTTTTGCCGAGATTATTCTATGGGTTGTAAAAATTATCCAAAAGTATCCATAGATGTGCTTTGCCTGTGGGAGGAAATGGATCCTCCCTTGGGAGAAGGAAATCTTTTCACTAGTCAATTTAGTAATAATATTCTAAGAGCACATATAAGCTTACTCCTGCGTGAGCAAACTGTGCACTTACTCCCTTGGGCAACAGAGCTACTTAAGAGAAAAATTTTAGACAGAAATTATTCACCTCAGAACCACCATATAAGCATTTGAAAAAGGGGAAAATTACATGAACCCCCTACCTTGAAGTTGCTACACACAGGAAACCCCACTATTTTTATCATTACACCTAATACCTTCTTGTTGTTTTGCTTCGCTTGATCAGGCCCGCCCACCCAACAAAAGAAAAAGGCCTTCCAGTTAAATATTCTAGACCATTTTGGAAAAAAATGCCCTCTCACATACAAACACTTATAAAATTTAACTCTAAAGCCCAAAGTAAATTCAGCACTCCAAGTGTCGAACCGACCTCAATTCATTTTACTCAACCGAAGTAGAGGCCAATTTGGCACTTGGGGTACAAAACCACTCTCGGAAAAAAATTTGGCAGTTCGGCACAAGGTTTTGGGTGCAATAACAAAAATAGTGAGAGTCCTATGTACAGAAACTCCAACATAGAACGTTTATGTAATTTTCCTTAAACAAAAGGCTTTTGAGTTTTTAAACACCCGAATCTATCTATCCAAAAATTAGATGGTCTTTGTTCAATCTTAGGACATTATTTTTCTCAAGCGCATATAGAGCACATATAATTCTTTTTCCTATATTGGTTGCCAAGAAGAAGAGGTCATATTCCCAAAAATTGGGGCCTAAATTTATTCCTCGATAGGATTTTACCTGAGGGAGTGAATACATATTATGTTCCCTCAGAAACATATAATCTTTTGGCATGTTCTAAAGGATCATTCAAAATTATACAAATAAAAGTCATCAACTAAGCAACATCACATGAATCGTCAACATTTCGCAAAAAAAAAAAAAAACTAAGCAACATTACATGAAGATATATCTTAAAGTTCAAAAAGAAAAGTAAATAATTTCCAAAAGTTGGTAGCCTTTTATTGATCAGTAAAATTTTCATGCACCTGTCTTTTCACAACTTTTCCTTAGACTTTCATTACTTATCTGTCATCTGCTATACCCTTACTCATTTGACTCTATGAAGCGATATAATGGTAAAGCAATGAGTGGGCTCCTCCATCCCCAGGGCTATAAATGGATCAGGGTTCAGGTCAGATCATCTCTGACGGTCTTATCTGGAAGGGCCTACCTAGACCCGGAAAAGGTCTCTAATGGATCTGCCAGGCCAACCAAGACACCACTTAATCCACAACCCCTCTTTGTCCTTCCCAAAACTCTCTGTTCATCCTAATACCACTCTATCCTCCCCAAACGTACTTTGGCTACAATAATGGAGACAATGGTACCAGGAAGCCCTGTTCCACCCTTTACTCAGAGTTTTTCAAGGTATTTGCTATTTTTGGCTTTGAGTTTTTCATATATTTGGACTTCGTTAAGTAGAAAGAGATGACGCTACCTTGATGACCTTTTCTTTCCTCTCTCGAATCGAACCGTGATGGCTTTTTCCAAGCTCCTTCCTATTGAATTCTTTTTCTCTTAGTTGCTCTTGATTTGAAGGGTCTTTTAGAACTTTGATGACCTTCTCCACAAAGAACAGAATCATTCTACAACCATAGGCCCTTATTTCTCTGCTAAAATTGATGATGCCTAAGAACAACAGGATCACAACCTAAACCATATTTCCCATTTTCCAACCCAAAGCCAAAAGAAGTAAAACCTGTGTTGAGAAAAAAACAGAGAACCCATCACCCATTTGTTGTGGAGACAAGAAAAACACTTTTCCCAACCTCATCTGTCTCTCAATAAACCAAGAATCCTCTCACAATATACTAAAAATGATTCCACAGAAGCAATTTCATAGGGTAATATATAATAATATGGAGGAGATGGTGCCAGGGGATTACAAAATCTTCTAAAAATATGTATTTTTATATTGGGAGGTATGAAATTATGTGGTCACCTCATCTCAAAACAAAAAAAGGTATAAAATTATGTGAAATTTATATTACTAAACTAATGAAGAGCATTCTGACATGGCGTGTGACCCTGGACCCGTACCCAACCCGCCAGATCCATCTTCACAGTCCAGGCCCACACCAGGGTTGATTCAATCTGACCTGTTTGACAGCCCCATCTATCCCTGCACAACCTCCACAGAAGACGAAGATCACCCAATCTAATTTGCATGTAAGGGAAATAAAGCATGAATTTGAAATCACCATCTAACTCCATTCTGCACATAAACCTCTGTGCAGCTGCAGCAGCAGCAGCTACAACTATTAGTACTACTAATATGCTAGGCATTGGCAAAATGGTGTCAAATACTAGAAGAGTTGGTCGTATACATTTGAGAAACAAGCTTTGTAAATGGAAGATCGAGAAATGGTTGCTCATATCATTTATCCAAGAAGGCAACCATGAAATTCCCTCTGTGCAGCAGCAGCTGCTACTACTACTACAGCTGCTGCTGCTGGTACTACTAGCTGCTGTTGCTGCTGCTCCTCCTGCTCCTGCTCCTGCTCCTACTCCTGCTAGAATAATAATAATAAGAGTAATGATCCTATGAGACCCTCCCACACCCATGTGTGTAAGGACCCCAAAGGATCACCATTAAATTTGGCACAGATCTCTAAAAAAATCAAGTCCCACACCCATATGATAACTTTTCTAGAGATCTGCTGCTGCTACTACTACCGCTACTACTACTGCTACTACTATAGCTACTAGCCTACTACTATTGCTACTAGCCTACTACTATACTAGTACTATTACGGCTGCTGCTACTACTAGTACTACTACTACAAGATCCCTATTTCTGTAAACTTAGCTCCCTCTAAGATCCCCTACAAGAACCGCAGGATTGAGTTCCTAAGGTGGGACGGCGGTCCCGTAACTATGATCTTAGGTCCATCCCATGTTCCCTCCTTCAAAAAAAGAAAGAACGCCAAACCACCAAAAATAAAAATAAAAAAAAGAATGTTAATAGGTTCCCTAGTCCCAAACTATTCGGTATTTATCCCGACAGTGGAGCATCCTCCTACAAAGAACCCTAATTTCATATTAGTTGCAGTCTCGTAATAGGAATCTTTGGTGATTCACAAAAAAAAAAAACCCAAAGTTCACAATGTTTCTCATCAAAATATGTTAATTTTCCTCGTCAAAATTGGACCATGGTGCAAAATTATGGCTGCACTCCAACGCAGTTCTAAATTTAACAGATGTTATAGCAGGGTTAATAGGAATCCAGTACATGCTCTCAACTGGGAGGGAGCCTATATTTTGTGTAATTGGGGCTAGTTCTCCCTAGGACATATCATAGTTGTTGGAAACGCCTAGGAACCCGAATCATTTTAGGAACTGGAATTGTGGAATCGAGACCAGATCGAAGATTCTTGCCTTAGGAATCGTTATCCATACAAGCAATCGCTAGGAACGAGATTCTTAGTTTTTGATAATCGTGTTTCGACTGAATACATCCAAGTTTCATCCACGTATAGAATCAAGATTCCGTCCTCTTTGGAATCGAGATTCCCATCCCCTTGGAATCAACACTCTATGAGTCAAGATTCCTTAATATACAGGATCGAGTTTCCAACATCTATAGAATCGAGTTTCTGACATATGTGGAACAGAGATATGCTGATATTTCGAATCGTGATTCTAACATGTTTGGAATCAAGTTTCTGAAATATATGGATCAGAGATCCATGCCAGTTTGAGATCGAGATTTAAGATAATATGGATTATGGAATGCATTTGACGACCCCTACCAAGAATCGAGATTTCTTTTTTATGGAGAAGGAAGCGACAAGTACATCTTGAGCCTCATCAACTTTAGAACCTATATTGGATGTTTCTTATTAGAAGGTTTCCCAAATTTTAAAGTGATTGTGTTGACTATTGAACTTATGGTCATTATATACAAAAGACAAGTATTTCTAAATTGTGATTTTGACTTCATTATTATAAAGACAAAATAGGATTATGTCTATGCCATGGTTTTACTTTTAATTGTATGTGATGTATTTACCAGTTATATTTTAAATTTAAAGTGAAAGTGATCCAGTGACACCCCTGCAACCACTAGAAGCATTCAAAGGAAGATTTCTACTCCAATTGACGTGGAATCAAGATTTATCCTTGCTAGAATCCAAATTCGATATATTTGATAACGTCTACCCACAATTAATGGGTTCAAGTTTCTAAAGAAGTGTTCGATCGAGATTCTAAAATTAAGGAATTGAGTTTTCTTGGTTCCTATAAATGGTTTCTAAAGATGTGTTGAATCAAGATTTTGAAATTAAGGAATCGAGTGTACTTGGTTTCAAAAAATGGTATCTAAAGATGTGTCACATCGAGATTCCAAAATAAAGGAATCGAGTTTCCTTGGTTTCGAAAAACGGTTTTCGTAGAGATTCCTTAATGGAAACGCGGAATCAAGTTTCGGAACCGGAAGTGCGAGGTCGTAGAGAGATTCCGGTAACTATGGGACGAATAAAAAGTGCAAAAAACTCAAACCATTATTACTTAAAACAAAACTAGGTGAACCAGTTATCCAGTGGAATCCACTTTGGCACATTGAGATTGGTTCTCAATCCTACAGTTTTAGGCTCTTATCAGTGCAATTCCATGTATCTAAAATATATAAGATCATTCCCCATACGAATAATATCTCAGTATTACATTACTTGGAAAGGAAAGGTGAGAGACCTTGAAACACAACTGCAAACAAATCAAAGATGCAAAACATGATAGCCACTTAATTCACTCAAGGCGCTAGTTTGATAGCCTCATCAAATTGAAACCTATCAAATTTTAAAAAAAAGTAAGAAAAGGATATTTTTTATTTTACTCTCCCATGGTATACCATTTAAAAAATGAAAGCAACACTTTCCATACAATAACCAAAGTTTCATGTGCATAATCAAGGCAAACAAAGTTTGACCTACTGACCTTATCAAGTAATGAATACAAAGAATGAGGAAATTCCCCTGTAACTATTATTAGGAACAGCAGAAATGGAAGTGACAGGATTCCATTATAGAACATGAGCTCAACTGATGAAAGTCCATCTTCTGCACCAGATTTCTCGACCAAAACCAGATACATGGTCTACAGAAAATTAATCAAGATTAACATAGGAAAGAGACAGACAAATGACACTGACAAGGCCCAAAGACAGCATAAAAACTTATTTCTAACATCAAAAATAAATTATTCTAACCATTTGAAAGAATAAAGAACATGCCAAACCTGGAAGAAAACAGAAGTCAGAGCCATGCTGTATCCAAAAAGGTCAATAGAAAAATCTCCTATTGCTGCAACAATAACTCCAATACCTGTTAATATAACCGAAAGCGACACCTGTATGAAACAAGGGTAAAGTATCAACCATCACGTCCTTCTCAATAAGACTCAAAATAACCACAATAAACAATTAAGATTGAGGAGCAGATGGCATAATGCATCTATTTGTACCTATGGAGATAAACATACCTACAAAGATCCAAGAGATTATTTCCTCCAACAAAAAAAAAAGAAGTCCTAGAGATTCATAAGTTTATCATACCACACCATAGCATCATGAATACTTTACTCCCATGGGTGCAGAACAAGTCTACCTATTTAGTTTAATTGTGCATCATCATCATTTTAGCCTTTTCCCAATTAATTGGGATCGGCTAAATGAATCCCGGTTCTCCATTTTGCTCTATTAAAAGTCATATCCTCAATGAGGCCATAAGTCTCCATATCTTTTCAAACTACTTCCAACCACATCCTTTTGGGCTTACCCCTTGAAATTTTCAATCCTTCCACTTGAACTAACTCGTACCTCCTAACAGGTGTTGTACTTGGCAGGAATCACACATGGCCAACCCACCTAAGTCTACTCTCTTTCATTGTATCGCCTATTGGTGCCACCCCTAATTTCTCTCGAATAGACTCATTTCAAATACTATCCCTTCTTGTATTGCCACTCATCCATCTCAACATCCTCATCTCCGCTACACTCATTCTATGGGTATATTGTTTTTTGTTCGCCCAACATTCTACCCCATAGAGCAAAGCTGGTCGGACCACTGTCCTATAGAACTTGCCCTTCAGCCTCATTGGTATGCAGCGATCACATAAAATTCCAATTGCACATCTTCACTTCGCCCACCCAATTCCAATTCTGTATACAACATCTTCCACAATCTCATCATTTTCCTGAATTATCGACCCAATATATCGAAGGTGCGGTCTTTTTGTACTTCCTGGCCGTCAATTTTGACTTCTTCCTCGTTTCTACTCCTATTATTACTAAAATTGCACTCTATATACTCTGTCTTAGTCCGACTAATTTTAAAACCTTTGGATTCTAGAGCATCCGTCCAAAGTTCTAACTTAGTGTTGACGTCGTTTCGGGTCTCATCAATCAAAACTATGTCATCTACGAACGACATCTACCACGGTACCTCATCTTGTAGGTGCCTAGTTAAGTCGTCTATAACTAAGACAAAGAGGTACGGGCTCAATGTTGACCCTTGATGTAGACCTATTGTCACTGAAAAACTCACTCGTCTCGCCAATAGTTGTTCATACACTAGTTAGCGTTCCATCGTACATATCTCTCACCACGTCGATGTAGTGTTTAGATACATTTCTTTTCCAACACCCGCCAAATCAAATCTCGAGATACTCTATCATAAGCTTTCTCTAGATCAATAAAGACCATGTAGAGGTCTTTTTCCTTCGCCCTAAACTTCTCAATCAATTGCCTACATAGAAAAATAGCCTTGTTGACCTTCCTAGCATAAAACCAAATTGATTTTCAGATACACTCATTTCATACCTTAGTGGTTGCTCAATGACTCTCTTCCAAAGCTTCATAGTATGGCTCATAAGCTTGATCCCTCGATAGTTTGCACAATTCTATGTCTCTTTTGTTCTTGTAAACAGGTATCACATTACTTTTCTTTCATTCGTCTGGCATTTTCTTTATTCATTCATCTATTAATTTGCACATATTTCTACAAAAGTTGTTATAATTTATCATAGAAAACATTTCATATATCGTCACCATGACTATTAATACCATTCATACAAGCAAATGATGATAAAGGTTGAGAGGCTGACAATGTTAATGAAAGTTTTGGATAAGCACAAGAACCAATCACAGCATTTTCTTGAGAAAACAACACTCTACCAAATGACCGTACCAATGCACATGGATGCATGCACACCATCATCATGACACCCACAAATGCTCCACTACATAAATCGATAGAACTATAGAAAAATGAGACATAAATCCAAGGGAGACACTCACATCTCTCGACCATTTAGGGTAAATGCTTCAGGTGTTCTCAAAACTGTAAAGGGGGATAAATAAAATAAAAAAGAAAGATAAGAATTTGATAAAATGAGATATTCTTTTGTTAAAAATCGATATTGCTCATATACTTGCAAGTGTCCATATTCAATCACTAACCATTGGGGAAAATATCATGAAGACATGCATAGATGCCTTCTGACAAGCACAACACTATAGTACACACTAAAGTAGTGCCATACGTAACTAGCCCATGTTCAAAACTCTTCGCCAAAAAAAAAAAAAAATCCAAAAATGAACTTATTATTTGAACATATGCTGACCATAGAATTGTAGATGTAGGAGAATCTAGGTTCTAAAGAAATATGAAACCTTCACTAAGAAAAATAAGACTTGGACCACTAATTGCTTGGTGGTGGAGAATTTTTTGCTTTCAACAGACATGGCTAAGTAACAAGGTCACCCTGAGTTGTCTTTACCCAAAGTAGATAGTTATTCACACCAATGTCATCAAATCCGAGATGTGGACTCGAAGGTTTAGGGGGATCTACACCACGAGACTTGATCAGATCCCTATGCAAGTGTATCTCCAGACAATAATTTTTAAAAATTATAAAAAATATAAGAGTATACATAATAACATAAATATGTAATTTATGTGGTAGCAGACATTTTAATTTAATATTTCTCTCTAGTACAACAGCTCTCAAGTCAATGACAGCCTAATAAAGACTAACATATTACGTTGTCTCTATTCTCTAATAGTCTAATGCAATTAACAGGTAAAATTAATTAATCCATCCATTCATTGAATTACATAAAACATATGCCAAGTGACCAACCAAGTACTAAGGAAATATAGTAGCAACTAGCAACCAACGTTTTGTTACATTGTAGGCTGTAGCATATAGCCAAAACCCAAGATGACAAATACCCATAACATAACATCCATTGACAAAAGTGCTCCACAAGTGCATAACCATCCAAAGACCAAAAGTTCATGACATATAAAATAAGATTTGATTGTCAACTCAAATCCAAAGAAAATTTGGTTTCTAGGTTTTAATCCCCTCACCCCTTGGAACCCTAGATTACTCGGTAAAGCTTCACCCAAAATGTCCTTCAAAACAATGCACACAACAAACTTGAATGGTTTCCCAAATAATCCCCAAATTGTATTGGATTCTTTGGATTCTATAAAAAAACTCTCAGGGAGTTCTAAGGGGGTATATAATCCCCTCAAAATCCTACCCCACACCCCCCCTTTTTTATTCATCCGAGGAAGCCAAACTGCTTTGCTTGTGGACATATTTCCACCCATGAGCAGCCAACAGGATATGTGGGAACTTAACACATATGCAATCAATGTGCCCATTATGTGCGCACATCAAGAAATCCTGCATATGAGGATGTATGAGGTGTGCCCATAGTGGATCCGATTTGATGTGCACACATAATGCATTATGTGGCCACGTTTAATAACAATGATCCAACTAACTAAATAAGCCAAAAAAAAATCGAACTTTAACCAAAAAAATTGGAAGCTTTATCCACTTCATCCTACTGAAGAACCTCTTTATATGCTATCATAACGTCATGTAAGGATCTATGGTCATTGATTCAGTTCAGTAAGGTTCAAATTTTTTCCAGTTACTACCATGAAAATATTGATTTGTTCAATCATGCAAAAAACACATTTCAAATTTTTGCCACTTGGAGAACGGGTTCTAGGCATAGGTGGCCAGGGCGTGGATGCCACAATGTGACATCTAGAGTCCACTCTCACCGGATCCCAACTTAACATTCAAAAAAGGGAAAAAAAAAATAGTCGCAGGTTGACATTGTCCCAGTCAACTCGACCAGCAAAATCTCCAAAGTGTTATTATGAAATCCTCATGCTTTTCAATTTTTAGTTAAATATACTGAAATTTTGTACCAAATCACATTGCAGGTTTGTGGTACTATGTGTTTCCTTGTGTCGATTTGGTCTCGAGTTCAAAAGAACAACATCATGGTTCTTTTTTCCTTTGCAAAATAGGTTTAGTTAATTCTGAAAATTAAGAGTAAATATGGCATAAGAATGGGCCAATTCATGATGACTTATACAAGATAAAATACTCAAAAGAGATTCAATGAAAGAAACAATTTCTCAATCCTTACTTTTCAGAGAGACACAGAGTAATATAAATTTACAAAAACAGAATATCAATTATTTCACTTAAAAAATTATGAGGGCCAGAGGCCTCCATGTTTTAGTTTTATATACTTGAGAAAGATTAGAAACAATAACCATTTATCAGGAGTGAGAAGCCAAACACTAGAAATGGCATATCAGGAAATCAATGGTAAAGTTCTAAGAGTAACATGCAACTCCAACTTATCGAATTAGAAAGATAAAAGGAAAAAGAAATTCAATAGATGTGTTTCATCAAATCTAATATAATCAGCCAAGATACTTCTTAGAAAATGAAAATAAGTAGCCATGACTCATATATACCTGGGTTGCTGGTCGCCCCTTTCCTGAAAAAAACCCAGCCACTAAGACCGCAAGTGGTGTGAGTCTTTTCAAGGCTATGTACATTGGAATATTGACCCCTTTCAAGCTTGCTAGAGCAAATGCCACATTTGCATTGTAGAACAGTGAAATAGGGAGAAGTTTCTTTGCAGTCCTTAAGTTTACATCTTTGGCTTGTATGAATCCAAATACTCGCCCAAAATGTATAAGTAAGGTTGTACCAAATTGCTGAAGAATTTTCCATGATGAAATTTAATGTTACAAATACAAACGTATACAAAGGAAAACATAAAAAAATAAATCATAAAAACATAGTCACATCTCAAAATATATTTTCTTTAAATGCACCTGCAGGGTAAGAAGCGTCATTGAGTAAGTATACTCCATAAGAACTGCCTTGTTGATAAACACCATAGCCATAGAAGCAACGCCATAGGAGAGTGCAGCAATCAAACTAAAATCCACAATGGCAAAATGTCATCAATAGGTCAAACTACACCATGAATTTGAAGCCAGTACATATCACTTTTTTTTTTTTTTTTTTTGTTAGATAACATGTAAAGTTTGTGGGGGAGAGGATGCATGTGTTTTGAAAAGAAACTATTTCAATAAATACACCACAATTAGATTTTTGGAGGTAAAAAAATAAAAAATAAAAAAAGCTATCATATGTAATAATTTCCTCATCCAATGCTCTCATTATATTCTTCATGAAAAAACTTAAGAAGCTTAAAATGTTACATTATTTAACATTTTAGGCCCCTAAAATACCATGAAAGAGTAAAGGTATTATTGGGATCAAAATTGACATTATTCCTTTTTCTCATTAAATCTCTTTGGGCAAGGCTACAATAAAATTTAGGAATTGGCAATACAGTAATGAAGTCTTATACGAAATTAATAAATTGAATAGGATAACATTTCGTCTTCACAAGGGTAGATTGCAACAATGGTCCGCCCTGCCCCATTTTGGGGACCTTAGGGGCACATTTCAGCCCAAATTTGGCCCCAGCATTCTCTTTGACCCAGCAAGAAGCCCATGACAAAAGTCAAAACAAGTCCCCAAAAATCGTCTTTTTAAACTCAGTACGTCAAGTCATCCATCTCATCATGGTGCCAGGATCTAACCCTTTAAGAACTAAAATCTTTTTTTTTTTTATTCGTTCATGTGGCAATGATAAAGCAATTTACAAAATTAGGGTCAAAGAAATTCCCCTAGGGCTTCAATCTAGCACCATTTATTATTTCTCAAAATAGGCAACCCATGTTCACTACATTTTCTATAAATATTTACTCAAAATAATAGGTTCAAGATTCATGAGGGCATGGCTCTTGATAAAGCAGAATGGCGGAACAAGATTGTGTAGCCGACCCCAAATAGTTGGGATAAAACTCGGATGATGATCGTGATTTCCTCAAAAAAAAAAATATTGACTAAATTTTCTATCTCCTCAAAAGAAACCATTTTCTATGGTTCTTTCCAAAAAAAAATCGCAATCATGCCTATGGCTCCCAAGAGAGTGTGTGTGAGGGGGAAGACACTGTAACAGTCCGCCCTTAAGTGGATGAAATATTTTCCCTAAATTTAATAGGTACATTTTAGAATAAATCTGATGCACACCCTTCCGATTAATAATATAGAATAGATTAAAATAATATCAAAATAGAACAGTAAATTTGAATAGTAACTGTTCATTGTCATAATTTTCTTCTTAAAGGAGAATAGGTAATGTGAGGTAATGCAAGTAACATAAAAGTAAACAAAACAAGGTGTTAGGAAATCACATGACCCCAGCCGACCCCAGTTATACCTCTGAAGTTATTCATTACCAAGATTGCCTCTCCCTATAATGAAAATTATGAACTATAGGAACCGATGACAATCAATAATTTATTTCGATAGTTTCTTTATATAAACCCAAGATCTTTCCCATTAGAAAAGATTTATAATCCTCGTCGAGCATGACAAACATAGAAGCATCTTCATTGACTATCCAAAGAAAAAGGCATTCCAACTAATGTCTAGTGGCCTCTGGCCAGTATTGTAACACCTTATTTATATTAGGAAAATCAAGGTTTTGAACATTGATATCTGTAAAATCATGCAAACATGACTCACGTACCAAATAAAAACAAGGGAAGAATGTCCATTTTAGAAAAAACAGTGACATGGTTTGAACTCCAAGTGGAAGTCTACCCACAACATAACAAAGCAAAACTATGTATCATATTTTCACATTGCCCTTTTGTTTAAACAACCCTTCAAGTCCTACATACTTGGGATGCAACTGGAGCTTCTGCAAATTCCAATCCTGAAGTCTCCATATGTTGGCAAGGACCACCACACCTAGGCACTCATTTTGTGACAAAAAAATCCTTTTTCTATCATTATCATTTAGGAAAACGCCTAGTCGTGCAAACAAAACTTGAGCACCTAAACTACATTCCACCTAATTTTTTTTCTCACCTTCCTAACCACAACCCTCCTCCATCATTCCCTCTTAAACGAATCTGGATGGTGACGATAACCATTATGTCTTATCTGAATGTTACAAATGATAAGCACTATTTAGAATGGTGTATATATCAGGTCCATTTTATGAATAATGGAAATAGAACTTAAGGCTGGTCAGCTGAGTCATGAAACACAAAAATATATTAGGGCATTGAGAAACCTCAAAAAAGGATTCGCTTCAACTTCAGGTTTTTCCATGCTAAGCTTACAAAGTGTTGCAGGACTGGTTCAAGCCCTTGTATTCTTATGAGCTCTTGCAAGTGCCAAACCTGGTAAAATCATAAAAAAGAAAACCATCTTCAAAGGCAGCTCCCTCAACAAAATAGGATCAAACTCTTAAAAGAAAAGGAGCAAACAAACTCTTAGCTGAATGTAAGGAATGCTGGAAATGCTAAGCAATGAAACATCACTGACAAAATACGAACAGTCAGAAAAGGAAGAAGGTAAGATAAAAGGCTGCCTGATAACTATGGATGCATAGTTGAGCATGTAACAAAACCGGACATTGGTCACATCTCCATGCTAAACGGAAGTCATGTGAGAGCACCTGTACATTCGGCCAAAGGGGAAAAAATTAAACTAATCAAACCAAAATCCATCAAAATGATATTCAAGATTTCAAACTAATCAGGGCCTCAGCAATCAAAGGAAGTAATATATGGGCGATAGGAACGCAAATTCCAAATAGAACTTGAAGTGAGAGAGAACAAATGTAGTGAGGTCATTATGCACATAGAGTGAGAGAGAGACTTGTACTGAGGTCCTTTGGTAAATATTATGTCACACAAGGACTACATCCCCACACATTGCAAATTTTCATAAAAATTAATACAATGGGTAGGGTCCCTGCACAAACCCCTGCTAGTGTAGTGAAAATTTAAATTGTATCATTTGTATATGAAAATGATCCAACAGAAGGATAAAATAAAAGCTATGCTGACTTGTTGATGTAATTCTTCCAGAAATATAACAACGTGAGGCAACAAATTAATCCCATACGTACACCAGTTTAATAAGAAGCCCATTGCTAAGAAGCATCTGATAAAAACTGTATAGTGTCATGAACTTTTAATTTGGGTTTTTCATGATAATCAATATGTACCTATATATGTCACAGGAAGCATCTTCAGGGTGACAAGAGAATAAAATCAATGAAATTAAGACAATAGCATATATAATACCACTTTCATGCCATTTCAAAATCAGCAACTCGAATATTGAAACTACAAGTTTTCAGCAACTTAATAAGAGGTGCAATATATAATTATATACAATTAAAATCTTTAATTGTTGAGATCTCATGATCAGTCCAGGACAGTAAGGAGCTAAATCATAATATGCAGAAAAAAACGCAGTTATTTACGAATTCAATAGCATAATCACAGCAGCATGAGTATATCGCCCAAAAAAATGAGACAGCTTTTCTCACTTGATTCCTTATCATCCTTAACTAAACTCAATCAAAATTTCAATTAGAAATATAAATGAAGAAGGACATTCATGACTATAGCTTCGAATTTCCAATTACAGTTGTTTAAACATGAGAAAATACAGTATAGTAGCATCATTCTATCAATGAACAATTACTACGCCATAAGAGATGAATAACTGCAAATAATAAGCTCACATACTTGAGTGATCGAGATCTTAACAATCAACTAAACACAGTATCAGGTACTCATTCAGATCTCTCCATAAAACAAAACAAAAAAACGCATTTCTAAGTCAATATACATTTGCATCTTCTCTCACTAGATTCATTCTCTTATTTTGACGAATCTCTCACTAGATTCATTCTCTCTCTACAATAAAACAAGAAATGCAGAAACTCACTCAAAAACATAATTACGATTCCAGTAATCCTAAGAAACGTTCTTTGAATAGCCTACGGATCTAACCTATAAAAGCCAAAAACCCTGGTAGAGAAAGAAAGACACAACGAAAAACTCAAAAGCCGATGTAGAGAGAGAAAATAATCCAAAATAAATCAATAGCGAAAGTAGAGAGAGAAAGCAAGCAAAGAGGCGATGTGCTTTACCTTAGACTGCGGAAATTTTACAGTTAAAAATACGAGGCTCCAGTCTTTCACGGAGATTAAAATGCTAGGAGATTGCTGGTTTTCGAGAACGTATACTCGATTAAAAACCCTAGAAATAGTCTTCTACGAGAGATTAAAATATTCTTCATGCAACAAAGGTGGTGCCCTAAAAATTGAGAAGCCCGTCGTCTGGGTTCAGGGAACAGCTGGCTCGTGGCCTTTGACAAATGAAGCCAAAGGGCCATCCCAATCAGATAGAGAGAGAGAGACGCTGTGCGTCTGTTATGTGTGAAGCGGGAAAAATAGCGGGTTTCCTTTAACGGTGGAGATGGTCCTTTTGGGCTGTTTCGTTTAATCGCGTCCGTTCAAGATTATCCATCAAATTTTGTTTCGGCAGCTAAAGCACTAACTAGTGAGAGAAAATGCAAAATAATGTTTCATTTTATGGGATTGTATAGTATGAGGCGCTTTATCGTTCGTACAGGGAGATCGTAATTGGTACTACCGTTATATGTCAAATTGCTTTCGTACAAGGAGATCGTACTTGATACTAACGTTATATGTCAAATTGAATGGCACTGAGTTGTGATATATATAATTGGGTAATTCCAATGGGGATGATGAGCCTCAATCTATTTTTGAAATAGTAGTGGTTTTTTAATGTATTAGGTGGAAACGAAACGTTAGATTTTAGATGGGGTACAAGTGGTGCTACCACCACTATTTCAACCCGATTATAAATCACACACTCACAACTACAAGATTTAAAATATAATAGATAATAATAATTGTAACATCATTTCATTAAAACCTCCTTGTATTAGAGTAAACGGTCTCTTCATATACTTTTTCTCGTTTTATTATTAAAGGGATTATATATTTTAAGCCCATTTACTTTTGATACAAATAAGTCATAATCATTTTCAACTATTGGATATAAAATCCGATATATTAACGTGTATCACAATATTAGAAAAAAATTATTTTAGACTTTGTACCTAATCAATGATGCATCCTCAACTACTCATTTCACATCCAAAAGTCGATAATGATTATAACATTCTTATATTAAAACTAAATTGTCTCATTGTATACATTTTTAAATTAAAAATGGATTATATACTATGAAATCATTTATTTTATTACAAGGATGCCGCAACTACTCATATCCATTAGTTGTCAAATTAAATGGCTTGAGAATATATCACTTTTTTTTTAACTTTAGTCACTGACATACTTGTTGGTGGTATAAGACCAATGGGCTAGATACGTAATATTTAAAATAAAATCCATTACATTAAAACTCAAGGGTTTAAATGTATCACGACCCCACCCTCTGACTTCTACCCTGCCCGCTGGAGGGAAACATAATGCGGAGTCGCGACCAAATGTAACGAATGCCACTCAAGTGGGAGTGCACTCAACACTTTTAGAAAGATGAAATCAAAGCAAACTACGGAAGAATACAAAAGCTCCAAACACGACTATACAAAACTGGTCAAATAAAAACCCAAAACATTTATATATGTAATTTTCAGAGTATTACAAAATATCCAAGGCACCAAAGGCCCCAACAACAAAATACAGAGTTTCAAACAAAACAATTGTATGGCCAACTGCCATCTACACCTACAGTCAAAATAAAGTTATTCACCAAGCGCGAGTCCTCAAACGCCAGCCACGGTCACCCAACAGTCCTTGCTCGACCCACGAGATATCACTCTATAAAAATGAAAGTCAAGAAATGAGGTAAAAAGCCCAGTAAGTGAATCAAGAGACCATATCTCCTGCCTATTAGAATTATCTTATAATAATTAAGATGTCATGTAATCATGTGCCCAAGTCATATCTATCAGTGTATCATAGATGATTCATAATGAAACCATAGCCGATGAGATATCACGACATTTAAATAAGCAAATCTTAACAAATTAGTATAACTATCTACTAACTCACTTCTTAGTTCACCTACTGTCGAAGTAGATGTCTCAATCATTGGGCCAAGCTAATCATATTATTTAAGACTTCTACCATCACTCGAGAGGGAAGACAATGACACTGGATGACTAATTCAATAATGTCTTCATACGCACACGCACAGTCCCCAACGCACTTTGGGGTTTTTGATAAGCTCGTGGCCTTGTAAGACACGATCCTCCCCTCATGCTCCTCTAGCGATGGGGCGTTACACTACTAACTAAATACAAAGTGCTCATACAAATTTGGGGGGCACGACCCTCCCAAACTTTCACATTCACTTCCTGACTGTCGTCTTATAATGGGGAGTCAAGAAAAGATCGCAGATGCCGACACCATCATTCATACAGTAGATGCCTTACCCAACTGGCCGCTGCCAGTACCATTATTCAAACAGTAGGTGCTTATCCACATATCATACAGTTACAGTTGACCACACAAGTCTTACCACATAGCACATCTAAAAAATATGTATACATGTGTCAACATAACATGTATCATAGCATGTACACTTATCACAACAGAACATGCTTCATTACATGTTTTCATTTCATAACAGAGCATACTCCTATTTCATAATGGAATAAGCCTTATATTACACTCTTATCATATCACCCCACACTAGCAACGGATGACCCATAACATAGTGTTTCATATCACATATGTGGCATAACTAATTTCAATCATACCCATTCACACTTTCATCAACATTCACTAGTTCGTAAGCATGTTTTACTTTAATCATGCACATTTGCTTACCCTTAACCGAGCAGGAACTCAAGTGTAATAGTCTCACAAAAATATACTTAACTTCTGATCTGTAGGGAGTTTCGGCATGGTTTCAAAATCATTTTTGAAATAATCTCACTCATTTTCATTTAAAAGTAATTTGAGCATATTTAAATACGATTTGGTCAGTGAACAGTCTAACATAAGACAAGTAACAGTTCTGGAAATTCCTTGCATTCACACTAATGACATATTCATATAAAAATAGGCATAATTTCCAAATCACAATGAATTTTGGCTTGGTTCCGAAATTATTTTCAAAGTAGTCTCACCCATATTTCATTTAAAAGTAGTTTGAGTACATTTGGACATGCTTTGGTCAATGAACAGTCAAACACAAAACGGGTAATAGCTCTGAAAATTCACTACATTCACAACAGTGACCTATTCATATAAAAGGGGCGCATAATTTCCAAACCAATTGAATTTCGATATGGTTCCATAACTATTTTCAAATTAGATTTCCCATCTTTTCATTTAAAAGTGGTTTGAGCACATTTGGATTTTATTTGGTCAGTGAACAGCTAACACAAGACAAGTAACAGTTTTGGAAATTCCTTGCATTCACAACAACGACCCATTCGTAGAAAAATCAGCATAATTTCCAAACCACGGAGAATTTCAGCATGGTTCAAAATAATTTTCGAAGTAGACTCACTCATATTTCATTTTAAAAGTAGATTGAGTACATTTGGATATGATTTGGTCAGTGAACATTTTAACATAAAATAGGTAATAGTTCTGGAAATTTCCTGCACTCACAAATAGTGACCTATTCATAAAAGAAAGGGGCTTAATTTTCAAACCACATATAAGTTCGACACGATTCAAAACCATTTCCCAAATAGACTCATCTATATTTTATTTAGAAGTAGTTTGAGTATATTTGGACATGATTTGGTTAGTGAACATTCTAGTACAAAACTGGTAACAATTTTGAAAATTCATTGCATTTACAACAGTGATCTATTCATAGAAAAAATGGCATAATTTCCAAACCACTTAGAATTTCGGCATGGTTCTAAAACCATTTTCGAAGTAGACTCACCATATTTCATTTAAAAGTAGTTTGAGTATATTTGGATATTATTTGGTAAGTGAATAGACTGACATAATACAAGTAATAGTTATAAAAATTCCCTGCATTTACAATAGTGACCTATTCATAGAAAAATGAGCATAATTTCAAAATCACAAATAATTTCATCATGATTCCAAAACCATTTTTGAAATAGACTCACTCATATTTCATTTAAAAGTAGTTTGCGTACATTTGGATGTGATTTTGTTAGTAAACAGTCTAACATAAAATTGGTAATAGTTTTGAAAATTCCCTGCATTCACAATAGTGACCTATTCATAGAAAAAAGGGCATAGTTTCCACACCACGTAGAATTTCGGCATGGTTTCAAAATAATATTTGAAATAGACTCACCATATTCATTTAAAAGTGGTTTGAGCAGATTTGGATATAATTTGGTCAGTAAATAGCCTTATGCAAAAACATTTAAAGTTTATAGAATTTCATGTTCAAAGTTGACATATTCTAGCAAAAGTCTCATAACTTTCAAATCGCAATAAAGATCGATATGAGGTATTTCCCCCCCATAAATAAACTCAAAGGGGTATTTCCCCACAAAATTTCATGGTTAAATGAAGTATTCTCAATTCTTAAACAATTGCTTAAAAGATAGTCATAATTTCAAAAAAACAGAGTGCGTGCTTAGCAAAGTTCTTAGCAAAATTTAAGCAACAATTTATACATCCATTTCCATAATCATACTTAAATTACACAATTTGATAAACAAATAAAGCATGCATCAATCAAAACACAAGAATCATAAAATCTAAGTCCACTTACAACACTCAAGGGGACTCCAATTTCCCCACACAAGTCAAGCTTCCAAAGGTGGCTCAAGCTTGGAAGTTATAAGTGTTTGAGAAGGAAGGATATGGGAGAGAGAGAGAGGGCTAAGGCTTTTAGAGGTTTGTGAAGGGGCTTTATTTATAGGCAAATAAGGGAAAGGCAGCAGGCAGGTGGCAAACAAAAGGCTACAAATGGCAAACAAAAGGCATGTTAGTGTCAAGTAGCAAATCAAGAGGCATGCAACAACCATGAGATAGAGAGAGTTTTTATCCCGCGCGGCAGTGATGCTGTCGACGGTGTCGCACGCGGTAGTATAGTTTACGCGCACTGTGGCTAACTTTCTCTCTCCTGTTGCAGATTACAGCTCTCACTCTCTCTCTATTTGCTGTGCACGACGGCTCTCGCTCTCTCTTTTTACTACGCACGACGGCTTTCACTCTCTCTATACTGCACACAGCAGCTCTCTTATGCCAGTGACTTGTCGGAGTACTTAAACATGTCAGAAAGTCCTGGTCCTTCCGAAATGCATGAATATCTCAATAAACAACCATACTACATATATTTCAGCTTACAAACATGGTTTATACACATTTGAATAATAAAAATCCAACCCTAATCGGTCACTTACAAATCCCTTACTTAAAAATACAATTAAACTCAATACAATGTCCAAATACTCATAATGTACATCTCCACGATTTTACATGTTTTGCACTCAAAATTCTTCATTATATCAAAATTACATGATAATTTCATCTTCATTATTCATCATTATGATGTAGCACACACATGTATTTTCTCATATACTCATTATGCGAATATATTTTATTGAGTGCAAAAACATGTATATTCTTTTGAGTGTAAAACATGTAAAATGAGAAATTTTGATATAAGGAGGAATTTTGAGTGCAAAACTAGTCTATACATACTATATATATGAACTACAATAATGCAATCACTAAAATTAGTTATGTAGCCAATAGGTTTAATTATTGTGTATATATCAGGAATAGTAAAAGCAATTTTGTTATATTATCATTCTATGTAGATGATATTTTTATAGCTGCTAATGATATTGGCATGATTAACTATACCAAATCATGACTAAGTTCCTATTTTGATATGAAAGATATGAGAGAAACCTCACATGTATTGAGTAGTAAGATAACAAGAAATAAAAATTCAAGACTTATATGTTTATCTCAAGAAAATTATTTAAAAAGTATTTTAAAGATATTTAAGATGAAAAATTCCAAACCCATAAATATACCTATTTGTAAAGACTTGAAGTTATCAAATAAATTGTGTCCATTAAATGATAATGATAAAACTGACATAAAAAGAATTCCATATGCTCAAGCTGTAAGATGTATAAATTATATCATATTGTGTACAATATCTGATTTGAGTCATGCATATGGTTTTGTTAGTAGATTTCAGAATAATCATATGATGACTCATTGACAAGCTGTAAAAATGATACTCAGATATATTCAGAAAACTAAAAATTACAAGTTGTGTTTTCAAGCTGATAATTTAGATGTTACTAGGTACTCTGATATAAATTTTGCAGAAGACCCAGATAGTAGAAAATCAACATCATGATTTATATTCTTCTTTGAAGGTAGATATGTTTCTTGATATAACAAGAAACAAGGTTGTATAACTAGATATATTATGGAAAACGAGCATATTACTTGTAGTATTGCTACAATATATGTCGTCTCAATTAAACACTTCATAAATGATTTGAAGCTGGATATAGTTGACGGACTTGTTAATTTTTTTTTATAATTAATTTGCCATTTTATCAATCAGAAATGAAGCTTGTAGTTTTAATGTTCATATTGAAATTAATTATCATTACATTTAAGATATTATTAAAAATAATAAAATAATTATAAGTTATTTGCTATCTTGAATGATCGCCGACCATTTAACAAATGAACTAAGAGCATAAATATAATGAAAACACCCATACGACCGCGTCATTCTCGTTTTCTCTTTGCTATCTTTTCATATTACGTCCAAGAGGAGGTTAACCGCGTTTTCTGACATGGTTTACATTGTGTCGCGAGGGTTCTCTCTCTGTAAACCCGTTACTTTGAGCAGAACTCCCTCTCACGGATATTCTCTTTCGCTCTAAACCCAGTAAAATCAGGGCTCTCTGTAAATCATTTTCTCTCGAGTTGTCATCTCCTTCTCTTTCTAAAAACCCTATTTCCTGGAAGTTTTCATCTCCTCTCTCTCTCTAACCTAAACCTAAAGTTCAGTTTTCTATTCGCTTCCCCTGATTCAAATTCCAAACCCGAGCTTCTATTTCTCAGATTTCCATTGGAGCACTGAAACTAGGAAACCCTAAACCATGACGTATAGAGAGAGAGAGGGACACAGGGGAAGGGATTCTTTAGAGAGAGACCACCGGGAGAGGCATTCTTCAGAGAGAGAGCGCAGGGAAAGGTATTCCTTGGAGAGGGACCATCGGGAAGGCCACCAGGAGAGGGAGAGGGAGACAAAAAAGAGTAAGATCGAGAGCCATAGGGAGAAAGAGAGAGACAGACACCATGATCAAAAGTACCATGAGAGCAGAGACTCTAGGGCACGAGAAGGAGAGAGACACAGAGAGAAAGAAGATCGAAGAGAGAGAGAATCCAAGGAAACTCAAAGGTACTCGGAGAGTAAAGATGATCGAAGAGAGAGAGAATCAAAGGAACCTCAAAGGTACTCAGAGAATAAAGATGATCGAAGAGAGAGAGAATCAAAGGATACTCTAAGGTATTCTGAGGGTAAGGATGATCGAAGAGAGAGAGAATCAAAGGAAACCTCGAGGTACTCAGAGAGTAAGGGTGTTCTTGATAGAGATGGATCAGTAGAGAGAAGATCACACAAGAGGAAAGACAATGGAGGTGAAGAGAGATTAGAGAAGAATGACAAGCGGCGAAGGTTTGAAGATCGAGTTGTAGAAGAATCTAAGGGTTCGGAATCAAAACACATTGAATTGGAGAAAAAGGAAGATAGGAAGGTTAGGAAAGAAAAGCGAAGGTTTGAGGACCAAGTAGATGAAGAATCCGGGGTTTCAGCTATAAAGTCAGAGAAGAAGGATGAGAAAATGGAGAGGAAAGAGAGAGGGAAGAAAGAGAGCGTTAAAGATGAAGTGGAAGACGAAACTAGGGTAGTTGGGTCTTTAGATAGAGGAAATGGACAACACGAGCACGCTTCAAAAGTTCAGTCTGACGAGCCCATTTTGGGTGGAGACATGAACGATAAAGTTCAGAGCTTGGCGACTTCAAACGGAGTTGGTTCTCTTAACAATGTAAGTAGATTAATTTAACAATAAAACTTTATGTAGTTCTTATGGTATCTAATTTCATTTAACGGCTTTCTCAAAAAAAATTCATTTAAAGGTTTCCCACTTTCTCTTTTTATGTGATGTATAACAATGTCCCTTTCTTTGTGATGCATAACAAATTTGAACATTGTTTTTTTTTGAGAAAGTGGTTAACTTTGTATTAATAATATAGTGCATTACATCAGAAAAAATCCGAAAGATGGCATCCCACAAGTCGGGTGCTCAGACTACAATATAAAGAGTTCAAGGGGAAGGAAAAAAGAAAATACTGAAGTAGAGTGTAGTGAAAGACGTGAGAGCATAAGAAAGTAGAACAGTAGGCGGTGAATCGAGAAAGAAAAGGAAAGGAGTTACTAGAAAATAGTCACCCAGTAAGCTGCCGTCTCCAAGGTATGGCCGGTCTTCAGTTCCATTCTGTCCGAGATGTCATAGCAACAGAAGGAAGAGGGAGTCTGAGGGCCAATGAAAGGAAGGGGTGAGGGCAGAGGGGTGAGGGTGGATGATGAAGAAGAGGTTGAAGGGACAAAATATATTAGGAGAGAAGAGGAGAATGGGAGAGAAGAAGGATGGATCATACAGAAGAGGCGTGAGGAGAAGATAGGGGAGGGGAAGAGAGGAAAGGGCTGTTGGAAAGAGATTAGAGAGAGAAGGGAGTGAGATAGAGTGAATGATTTGGGGAGAAGAGCAGCAGCAGAGAGAATGATATTGTGATAATATTTTTTTTCCTCTTTCTTTTCCCCCTTTTTTTTTTTTGGAGAGGAGGAGAGAGGAGGAGAAGAGGGAAGAGCTTGAGGGGTATGTGGTTTCAAGGAGTCGGGGGTGCACCTGTGTCCTGGTGCGATCCCTTCTTAGCCTACTGGTGTACCTTAGTGTAAACCTCTTTGTTTACCTTAGCGTAAACCTCTTTGTTTACCTATGGGATGGAGCTGTGGTTTGGCGGGCTTCTTACTTAGCCACCCTGTCTGCTTTAGAGTTGGCCTCTCAAGGAATATGCTCGAATGTGACTTGTGGAATGGAGCTGTAAAGGAAGTTGATATGCTCGAAAGTATAGAATAAATGCCATGACGGGCGGTGCTAGTGAGATGCCCAAATGATCGTGTTGTTGGAGTCTGATGGGACTATAAACCCTTGATAATTAGACCTAGGTTGAGGTACTCTCTTAAGACCTTCTAAAGGAGTCATGGCCTCTACAGTGGTGGAGTCCGAGATCCCAATATGTTCCAAATAGGAAAGGAAAATGCCATTGGAGTTAGGCAAAATACCACCTACGCTAGAGGGACCTGGGTTACTTAAGGATGAGCCATCTGTGTTAAATTTGAGGAAATTGGGCGGAAGGGGAGTCCATTGGGCTCTGATGTTGGTAGGTGGGGCAGAAAGGTTCAAAAGGGCTTCCTAGTTGGCTCTGAAGTGGGAGATGGGAAGCGAAGCGAAAACTAGGATGTACTTTGCCAAGAGGGAGATTAGGGCAATGCAGGAGTTAAATATGGGTCGTTGGCCCCTCAAAGTGATCCTAAAGATTTCGGAGGTCCTCTCAAGCCAAATGCTTTAAATGAGGGTAAAGACCAATATTTAAAAAGCGCTAGAATGAACTTTGCCAAGACGGAGATTAGGGCAATGCAAGAGTCAAATATGGATCGTTGGCCCCTCAAAGTGCTCCTAAAGGTTTCGGAGGTCCTCTCAAGTCAAATGCTTTAAATGAGGGCGCTGACCAGTATTTAAAAAAGCGCTAGGTGGCACCTAGGTGAGTAGATTTATTTTTTTTTGGGTTTTTCTATCTCTAAAATATGCTCTAATGGGTTTTAGGTTTCAATTTTCAAATGAACCTAAACCCACAATTTTGCACCTTTAGTATTAACAAAAATATCATCAACGAGGGGCATTTTTGCCCCTGGGTGGGGCACAGGCCCTACCTAGGCGGTTTCTCGGGCGCCTAGGCGGGCGCTCAGGGATATCCGCTTTTTTTGGGTGCCCAGGCCCCAGAATTGCCTAGGCGGCCGGCTAGGTGCTGGGCGGTCCGTTTTTTGAAACACTGGCGACGATGAACAATTGCCAAAGTTTCTACTATTTTTAGCAAAAGGAGGGGGATAAGAAAGCATTGAAGAGGTTGTCAAGTGAAAGGGGAGTGACCCGATGGAGGTGAAAGAGTTTAAGGAAAGATGACTAGAGGCTGTAAAAGATCTCACATTGGATAAAAAGGTGGGAGATTGTCTCCTCTTCTTGGAGCCGCATGATGCAACGATTTGGTAGGGAGAGCAGCTTATGCTAAAGTTGGTCTAATGTAAGGGTTAAGGGTTTTACCTTGTAGAAGCACCCATGTGAGGGCTTGTATTTTATGGGGCACCTGCTGGGACCAAGATTTGTTGAGAAGAGGTGCATGGGACAAATTAGGGAGTAGAGAGGAGTAGAAAGAGCAAAATTGTGAAAATCCCGTATGGGGTTTCGAGAGTAGATGATTGAGTATTGACTTTGGAGAGGGCTGAAAAGAGGAGCTCGCATAAGGAGAAGGGAATTTAGGAAAAGGGACTCCTGGCCTGTGAGGTTTCTCCTAAAATTGAGTGTCCAAACCATGGCCAAACCTCTAACCTCAACATATTCGGCAACCACTGCTGCCTGGTTTTGGACCAAGGGGAATAGAGAAGGGAAGACATGCCCATGGGGTTGGACTCCTATCCAGCTATACATCCAAAAGTTGATTCTCTGACCATTCCCTAATTGAAACCTAGTACAATTAAGGAAAGCTAATTTGCTTGAAGTGATGCACTTCAAGGCTCTAGAGGATCTATGGAAGGGGGATCTAGGCAGCCACCTGTCTTCTCCAAGTCCGTACTTGGCTTGGATAACCTGTTTCCATAGAAGGGGGTGGGGGGGGGGGGGGGGGTAAATTTCCACCACCATTTTCCTAGCAAGGCAAGATTCATAGTTCGAAGTTTTTTGATACCTAGTCCACCATATTTCTTGGGGGTACAGGCTTTGTCCCACGTTACCAGGTGAAATTTATGGCTTTCAGCAGACCCTGACCAAAAAAATGTCGCATAAGTTTTTAGAGATGCTGAATGACAAAAATAGGGATTTGGAAGAGGGACATGTGGTATATAGGGGTGTTTCCTAGCGTGGATTTGATAAGGGTAATTCTTCATTTGAGAGAAAGATACCTACCTTTCCAGCCAACAAGCTTCCGGTCGAACTTCTCAACCAGATTGTCCCAGTGGGGTGCTTTATGGGTTTGCCTAAGCAAAGGGGAAGACCAAGATAGGAGGGGAGGCTTTTTGGAGCACATCCCAAATGTTGGGCAACAAGCTGTAAATCTCCATTTTCCACAACATTTTGGTCTTGCACAGTTTAACTTTCATACTAGTTAGGAGTTCAATGCTCCTAGGGAAAACCACAGGCTGTCAATTTGAGAAGGGTGGGCCTCACAGAAAATGAGTGTCATCAACGTAGAGAAGGTGGGAGAGGACTGGCCCTTCAAGGGAAGTCCTAAAGCCCATGAGAACTCCTCTGTCGAAGAATCTAGCGAGGGTTCTAGAGAAGAGTTCACCAATAGTGGTGAAAAGGAAGGGCGATAGAGGGTCTCCTTGTCTTAAGCCTCTAGTTGCAGGGAAGAAGCCAACTGGGGAACCATTAAGGAGAATGGAAAAAGTGGGGTTGGAAGTGCATGCTTTAATCCATTTCCTCCGAACTATCCAAATTTGATCATGTTAAATAGCAAATTTTCTTAGTTTGTCTTTTGTTTCTTTTTGTTGGTCTAAAATACTATTGTTTTAATCTTTTTTATGGAAGGAGGAATCAGATTTTCCAATTTCCATGTGATTGTATTATATGTTTTAGTGATATGTATGTTAACGTTAATGCTCATGTTTTTTTTTTTTGGCACTTAACGTTAATGCTCATGTTTTAATGTTATGTGTATAAAGTTAATGCTCATGTCCTTGTTATCTGAATGATTAAAAGTTTGATTGTGTTGAATTCTTGAAGTTATTGTGTTATTGTATCCATGGGTTAAGATAGTAATGATATTTCTACTCAAAGATGGGTCTCAATCTCCTGAAATTTACCAACTGAGGGATTAAGCCTGCATGCACCATATACCCATTTGAGGTGTAATGACGATGAACTATGGCTGGGACTTTTACTAGTTGACCTCTTTCAGAACCAATTTCATTTCTCATCCTCTTTATGCTTCTATAATCAAGTTCCATCAATGTTGTAATGATGCTGTTGTTTTTCAAAATTTCTATGTTGATCATTCCCTTGTATACATACCTTTGAAGAAAATCATTCCCTTGTAAACATGGAAGGACTGTATGGTTTCCATGGGGTTTTGGCATATTGATCGTTTGACAAGCAGGGAATTAATATTGTTTTCTTTGACAGCATTGATAGCTCTCTGGTCTTTTGCAATTTTCTCCCCTAAGGCTAATGGTCACTGGATTCTTACCTGAAATATGGAAAAATACAAAAATGAGTAAGTTGGGGAAAAAATGATTTCATTGTCAACTTGAGTCTTTTAACAAAAAAAGGAAACCTACTTAAAATCCAAGATGTAAGAATCACCACCAGAACCATTATCAATAAATGCTTATTTTGAGATATAAAGACAATAATAAGATTCTGTTGCCATGGTGAAGAGTCATTACTCACATCTTATTGTTATAGGCACCTGGATGATTACTTTTCTCGATACATAGTTTCAAAAAGCGCTAGGTGGGTCCTAGGTGGCCTAGGGGGTCCAGGCCGCCCAGCGCTTAGGCGGTTGCCCTGAATCTGGACGGCCCAGTTGATTCCAAAAAGGATTATAGAGTTATATATTATATAAAATATAAGAATTAGGTATTTAACGCACATTATAATTCAAAGTATAAGCATAACCATAAGTCGGTCCATATCCAATTAAAACTTAAAATTTACCAACCAAATTACCAAACCAAAGTTACCAAATACCATACCAGTGGAACTGCATATCCACTATCCACAATACACAACCATGAGGAAGAAAACAAAAATGAAAGTAATACTTGAAGACTCAAAAGAATCTTCAATAATTTAATCAATGTTCAAAGTTTAATCATTATTCAACATTCATCATCAGAAAAAATAAGGTCAGCTGCATTTGCATCATATTCATCGCCATTGGAGTAAGTAAGGAATCAAAATCTTCTAAAGCCCCCCCAATAGATTTATAAAACATCAAAAATTAAATCTAATATCAATGGTTGATATTTTTCTTAACTTTGAGAAACCCTTCGATTCTAAAGAAATCACCAAAAACTAGTTTTTTGGAGGCTTTCTCTCTCTAAAATGGTCTCTAATGAGTTTTAGGTTTCAAATTAACCTAAAACCCCCATTTTTGATCCCTTAGTATAAAAAAATGGACAAAAATAGCTCCCACCGAAAGCTTTTTGTCTGAACGCTGGGCAGCCTAGGCGGGTGCCTAGGAACATCCGCTTTTTATGGGCGCCTAGGCTTGGGCGATGCGCCTAGGCCCTCAGATCCGCCTAGGCGGCCGCCCAAGCGCTAGGCGGTCTGCTTTTTGAAACACTGCTCGATGTGATTTACTGTTGGCTAGGCTAATTGTGTGAGATACAGAAACCCCTTGAGACTACATAAAATGAACTCATGATCAAGTAGTTTTTCAGGATAGAGTTGTTTCATTATATTCAATGCCAAGTTATGGAGTGTCGTAATAATTCTGCATACGCACGCACAATTGAGTGTGTCTGTAGAATAATGTAATATAATTACTTCTGTTAGCCAACCTTTACTTTTGGACTTCCTCTCTGCATTGGTAAACCCAGCAAGCATGCATGGGTTCTATTGCTAAGGAATTTTGTGTGGGCATGGTAGAGGGATAGATTAGTGAGTGATCCTTAATTGTGGCATTGCATTAGTTTACTTGTTTATCATTCTTTATAATGGTTGTGGAGGATACGATGTATAAATTGGAGAAGTTGTGACTGCGTTGTTGTTGGTCATCTTTTTTTTGTGGGGTGGTGGGGGGATTTGAATATAATATCTCACCAGCTGGTAATGGTTCTCAACGTAAACCTGAATTCTGGCTGTTGAACTCTTTAACTTTGTGGTGTATAAAGTCCACTGCCTTGGTAATATCCTTTAAGAGCCTATCATCCTTTTGGTAATATCCTTGGTAATATCCTTTTGGTAATATCCTTGGTAATATCCTTTTGGTAATATCCTTGATAATATCCTTTTGGTAATATCCTTGGTAATATCCTTTAAGAGCCTATCATCCTTTTGGTACTAACCATCTTAGGAAAGAAATTTAGTATGTCCCATTCTCTCAACCAGAGGTGAATGCTTTCACATGAGCTAATCTTCTCATGAGGTGATAGGGTACTTTCAACAATATCCTGCATCTACGCTTCCCTTTTGAAGTGATCTCCTTTGAGCTCAAAGATCTTCAGGAACGAAACCCCTCTGTGCTGTAAAATTCTTTCAACCTCTTCCTAACCATCAAATCTGGCCTGGAGTGGGATGACACACTCATAGATCACTGCACTCATCTTTTGACATTATGCTCCCTTAATTTTATATCTTTAAGCTGCAGATGCTAAAATCAGTGGTTGTAGATGGGTTTTTGTAGTTAATACATTGTAGTTAATACATTTCAGAAATGTATATTCCCAGTCCTCTGATAAGAAAAAATCTTCCTTCTTGTTGGCTTGGTAAAGGAAGACCCATCACATTTTGGGTCTGCTAAAAGCATGCTAATAAGTGGCTTCCGAGAACCTTTTTTTTTCTGGAGGATGTGAAGTCTGAGAACCTCCACATTGTTATGTTTGATCCTCTACCCGCCTCGCCTTACATGGGATTACAAGATAGTGTTGAACTTCCTTATCAGACCAACGAGACAATGTCTATCTTGTGCCTCATTCATACTTGAAAGTTCTATCATGAAAGCTTTTCTGAACTCTTATTTGCCTGGACCATAAACCTGGTCACACAGCATCTATGTGTGCCTTAAAGATTCATAATCCTCTTTCTAGTAGATGCAAAAGATTGCTTGTGTTCCCTTCCATTTATTTATGTTGCTGTCACGCCTAAAATTATCCTTTCCTCTAAATCCCCAGTGACTGTGTTCGGAAAAACAATCTCTTCCATTATTCCACCAATACCTCAGAGGCAGTCGTCTGACATGTAGTGTAGTGACAGCCTTGTTTTGTTACCATACCTTACATTTGGGCCTTGGGACTATGATGTGGTCCCATAAACTCTTACTGATAGACTGATAGTGAGAATGCCTTTTTTCCTTAGCATAATGTAAGTACCCTTGATATAGCAAATTATTCTTCTTTGGCTTATTACACTTTGCTGGTCCTTTCTATCCCTCAAATTTCTCTTAAAAGTATTTGATGTTTTCCAATACTTTAGACCCATTTCATGATAGTTTTCAGCGACTTGCACATCCCTTCTGCACTATCACAGATATAGCTGCAACATAAACTTTTGGGGAAATGATCTATTGGTCACCATTCTTTATCTCTTAAAAATTTGACAATGTAAAAATTCTGAATCCTAAACTTTTCTAGATTTAGAAGTAATTGCACGCAATTCATCATGTATTTGTCATGTCTCTCTCTCTCTCTGGAGTTTCTTTCTTTGTGATCTTTTGGAATTTTTTCTATTTTTCCATCTTTCAAATTTTTATTTATTGTTGATTTGAAAAATAGTTGGACTCGATCTAACCACCAAAACAAGCCAAAGCAGACACTTTCCGGGTTCAATATGGGATCCAATATTTATGAGATTGGTTACACCTTGGATGGCCACTCCAACCATCCTTGGTGGACAAATGACCTCTTACAGTGCTTGTGTTGAACCTTTTTGGGAATACATATTTGATCTAACAGGAATTGGACCTTTAAAGAGTTGTTCTTGGAAAGATAACATGTTTGAGTAGAAAAACAATCACAGCTAGTCTCTAGTGTCCACCCTTTAGCGCACTCAAGGTGGAGTCTCTCTTTGCTCCCAATTCATGATGTCCTTTACGTAGGCTGTGGGCCATGTTTGTCTAGGGACTTCATAGATCCTTAGTATTCTCCAGGAAAGGGATCCACCTATGTGCGAAAGAGTGGTCTGTCCCGTCATTCAAGACCCATTTCTCAGGGCATGTTTTCTAGGCTACCAAGACACATCAGCTTCTATTTTGGCATCCTCAGTCCTAAAACCAAACCAACTCTACAAATGTTGATACTCCGCCTTCTCGTGCCCCTCCTGTGAATTCTGTTAAACTTTTATCACTTTCTTGTGCCTAATGCTCTCAATCTTACACCAGTAACTCGAGTTATTGTGTTGGTTCCGGATCACCATAACATAGTTGCAAGGGCTCATCCTCATCTAGTTTTCAGATTGCAGGCAGTGTTTGCTATTCTGAACCAAAAGCTGCTGTTTACGAGTCCCAGCAAACACATAGAGCAGGATGACTGATTTGGCTCAATGACTTTTGAAGCAAACTGGGATCCCTAATTCAAATGGTTGAAACAAATGCAAATCAGTCTTCCATGCATTTCCCGTTCCAATGACTGAAAGGTTCAGTTTGGGTCCAACCCAGTGAAAGTGACTTTCACAATCTGGCAATCTGGTCCTATTACATTTTCTATGATGTTGGTTCTATACTTCTGTTTTTTTGAGAAAATAGTTCTATACTTCTGTTTTAAGTTTTTGTTACCAAAAACCTAAAAAATATGCTTAGTTTATTATTATTATATTTTAATGAACGATTTGGCTTTCTTAGTTTAATAATTACTAAAGAGAAAGGATGGTCATCTATCATGAAAAGGGTGATTGGTCTCTATGAGCAATTCGGGGTTAGTCAAATGTCGGATTGTCTCTCAGTCTTATTACTCTAAAAACAACTATAATACCCTTGTGTGCTGTACTACTGTACTGTCTTTCATTTTCTATTCACTATACATATAATTGCATTTGTCTAAGAAGTGCGAGGAACTTAAAATTTCCCTTAACCCATCCCAAGCCCGGGTAAAGGAGGTGGGTTATGTTAGGTAAGCTGCCAACGTTAAAATTTGCCAAAACTTAACAAAATGGCAAACCGGGATTTGTATAGCCGACCCCAAATAGTTGGGAAAAGGCTTTGATGATGATGATTATGTGTACAATTGCATGTTGCAGATTACGGAGATTGTATAGAAATAAATTAAATAATACATAGACACAAATTCCTAAAGTTGTCTTACATATTTTGAATAGGTGACCTTGTATGTTTGCATGCTTATTATTATTTGTTTTCTCAAGTAAGAGACATGTTCAATGAGTGAATCTTTTTGGAGTTATATTGGCGTAATGATTTATGTTAGTTGCCCATTGGCCAATAGCTTTCTGCTCTCGTTGCAAGGGTTTGTAATTCTTTCACTTGCTTTTTCTCTGGCAGGGTCCTACATGGGAAGCGCCGTCTTCTGTGGCATCAAGGGCCGTTCATGCTTCTGCTTCCTCTGGTTCTCCACTTGCTACAAAGGTATCTTTGATTTCTACCCCTCCTGATGATAAGGGCCTTAGTGTTACCAGATCTCATGAGGCTCCTGGAAAATCCAGTACAGATGGGACTACAACAGCAGCTGGAAAAAGTTCTCTCTCTATTGATGCTTTAGCCAAAGCTAAGAAGGCTTTGCAAATCCAGAAAGAGTTGTCTGAGAAATTGAAGAAGTTGCCACAGGTAGGTCATTTGGTTAAGATTAATGTCATTGTTGTCTCTCTACATTCTTTCTGCTACTGGTTTGAGTTCTGCATCTTGTTTGAAAAGATATGTTTTCTTGATGGTCGTGCAGTTGAGTAAACCTACTGTTTCAAGTCCAACTGGAACCACACAGGCAACACAAGCTGCTCCTTCAATGACCAAAACACCAACATTGACAACCCCAAGTCCCTCGACAATGGGGACATCAGCTTTACCAGTAACCACCATACCTTCTGTGAACCCTGCATCCACGTCCATGGCAGGCATTTCGGGGCTTACAAACATTCCAAATTATGAAGCTGTAAAACGAGCACAAGAACTTGCAGCTAAGTTAGGGTTTCACCAAGACCCTGAATTTGCCCCTCTTATCAATATGTTTCCTGGACAGGCTGCTGATGTTTCTGCGCCTCAGAGGCCTGCAAAGGCTCCTGTACTGCGTCTTGATGCTCTTGGAAGAGAAATTGATGAACATGGAAATGTTATAAACATGCCTAAGCCAACCAATCTCAGCACTTTGAAGGTTCACACTCTCTCTTCTCACACACGCACACACACATAGATCCACACAAGCTAATGTATGCTCAGCCGTTAAACCTCTGTTTCTGCTGATGTCTAGCTAATGTGGTGCTTGTTTTCAGGTCAACATTAATAAACAGAAGAAGGAAGCATTCCAAATCCTCCGGCCCGATTTGGATGCAGATGGAGAAAATAATCCCTATTTTGATGAGACTATGGGGATCAACAAAACAAAGCTTTTAAGGCCTAAGAGGATGAGCTTTCAGTTTGTTGAGGAAGGCAAATGGTCAAAACAAGCAGAAATAATAAAATTTAAGGTACTTTGGTTTGCAAGGTGCTTCACACTCCATTTAGTATTCTTGTTGGCTCTTAGCTAATATTTTAGTCTTGCTATTCCAGAGTCAATTTGGAGAAGCACAGGCCAAGGAGCTAAGAACTAAGCAAGCCCAGCTGGCAAAGGCAAAGGCTGAACTTGATATCAACCCAAATTTGATCGAGGTTTCAGAGAGAATTCCCATTAAGGAAGAGAAACCGAAGGACCCCATCCCCGACATTGAGTGGTGGTGCGTTATAGCTTTCATTTGCTACCTTGAATGGGAAAATATATCTTATCCCAATGGATTATTGTATATGATACTTCATCGATGTATCCAACATTGTTTCCACTTGTAAATGGTTGAAGATTAAGTTGGCTAGGGTCGCATGGAGACACCTAGCTGATTATAGTTATCTTGGCCATCCTTGAGTGGGAAGTGCTTGGAGTACCTAGTACCATATTGGTTGTTGTCTGCTTTTCCTGTTTAATTGTGATATTACTTTTGCTTCTTATGTAATCTAGTAACATGTACTGTAAATATCAAATTCACCTTGGGAACCTCTTTGTTTTGGCTAGGGAAGAGAAGTTCTCTGCCCGATCCAAACAAGATTTCAATCTTTTCCTTTTAATATAAACTATAAAAATAATAAAATATATAACTTGGTGTTGTCATAAAATTTTCCTTTTTTTCCGAAGTATCCCTGATATTTTCAAGATATCAGCATATTTTCCAACATCTTGATCTTTTCAAGATATCAGGTATATTTTCCCAATATTTTGAAAATATTGGGTGAAGTTCACTTTACTTGGATTTGGAACTAAAGCTGAAGACGTTGGTGTCTACTGCCAAAGTGAAGCAAAGCTAACAACACGATGTGCTGATAATATAGTAAATTTTGCTTATGTATTTTCCAGGGATGCAGTTCTGTTGCCTTCTGGGAGCTACAGTGATGTCACAGGAGATAAATTCAACATCAGAATGGATAAAATCACTTGCTATGTTGAGCATCCCCTTCCTATAGAGCCTCCTGCTGAGCCTGCCCCACCCCCTCCACAACCCTTGAAGCTGACCAAGAAAGAGCAAAAGAAGCTTCGGACTCAGAGGCGCCTTGCTAGGGAAAAAGAGAGGCAAGAGATGATAAGGCAAGGTCTGATAGAGCCCCCAAAGCCCAAGATCAAGATGAGCAATTTAATGAAGGTTCTTGGCTCTGAAGCAACTCAAGATCCCACGAAGCTTGAAATGGAGATAAGGAGTGCTGCTGCAGAGCGTGAACAGGCCCATGTAGACAGAAACATTGCCCGTAAGCTTACGCCTGTGGAACGCAGAGAGAAGAAAGAGAGGAAGCTTTTCGATGATCCAAATACATTCGAGACCATAGTCTCTGTGTACAAGATGAACGACCTCTCTCATAAGCAAACTCGCTTCAAAGTGGATATCAATGCTCAAGAGAATAGGCTTACAGGTTGTGCTGTGATTTTCGATGGGTTTAGTGTGGTGGTTGTAGAAGGGGGGAGCAAGTCTATCAAAAGGTATGGTAAGCTAATGCTTAGAAGGATCAATTGGGCAGCTGCTGTTTCGAATGAAGAGGAGGGGGATGATAAAGAGGATGCTCCTGTCAACAAATGCTTGCTAGTTTGGCAGGGGAGCGTTGCCAAACCGAGTTTTAATAGATTTTTTTTCCATGAGTGCCGAACTGAAGCGGCTGCCCGTAAAGTTTTTGCTGATGCTGGGGTTGCCCACTATTGGGATCTGGCTGCAAATTTCACCGAAGAAGATATATAAGCCGGGTTCTCTTGATTAATGGATATTTTTACCTAGTCATTTGGGATTCAATTATGTTGGAGCTGGACCTCTGCATCTTCTACAATGGGCTTATCTGGTGTTAGCTGAAGGCGAAGTCCTTGGGGTTAGAGGCAAGGAGATCTATTTGAGGTTTAAATACCATTGCAATTCTGCAGGGGTTTGTTATTAGAGTGAAACCATTTGGTCTTTTGGCTTTATTCATGGCATGGTTATATGGGGCATTGTTTTGTAAGGCTGGTTCTCGCTGAATGGACATGTGAGTATGTTCTCTTAAATTCCTCCAAGAATTAGGAAGTGCATGCTGGTAAACCTGGTTATTGTTGTTCTGGTAAATCTGCTTAGTTGCTGCTCTTTGTTTTCAATATTGAACAGAAATTAGTTATTGGTACTTGGATTTTCATGTTTAAGCTGCTTCTGTTATCTGGTCTTGAATTATAGCTTTTTAGAGTTTTGGTCTTGTGTAGAATTTGAAAGATGGAGCACAAAGATGCTTTCGTTACCAAGGAGTCGATGAGATCAAATTGAACATATACTGATGCAAAACAAACAACAGTATGCATGCAGTACTATCCTCCCACTTGAGAGTTGGTATGGTGTTGATACAGTAATTTCTTTTAAGTTGGTATGGTGTTGATTGGAATTTTAATTTTAATCTTTTGTGTCTCTTTACGAGTAACTATTTATCGTTGAAGTTGTACAGGTGCCACACCATCACTTGTTAATGCAATATTTTATGAATTATACACTATCTATGATTGTCTCATCTTAGGATTGGGGCAGTCGGCGGGGGACTGGAGAATTCAAAATTATATTTTTGGGCAGTCCCCTTCTTCAGCCAAGGAATTGTTGGTCTCATATGCACCCTTGCCAATGAATGTATTGCTTCCAAAATATGTGGTAGTAGGTTTGCCAACCTCCATGGCACCATTGTCATCGATCAGTCTCCCTGTACTGTCATAGGCCTTATCCTATTGGGGTAAGAATTCCTTTAAGAAAGGCCTGCAAGTTTGTCCAACTCCATGCCGACCTTCATTCCTCAGATTTCTTTGGAAGCTAGGACACCCTAATCCGGTCGACCCTCAGTGAAACCAGTACTTTAACAGTGTAGCATCCAGATGAGACACATGCTTACCTCTGAGTTCGAGATCGCAACTCAAAACTCGCTGAACATTGGCTCAAAATGATTCTCCTCTTCGCATCTGAACCTAGTACTTTAGTTGAAAATTGACCAAATCCTATGGATGTCCTGCTAGACCTGTCATAACTTACTTGGTCTATTCATATCCCTCCCCCGCCATAACCCTCATGATACTCATACTTACCCGCATGGGTCATGATCCTTTCTGCACGCTCTTATATAGCTATAATGCCTTTCACAATGCTAGGGCCTCAAAAGAGCTTTATATGCATCTACACTCAAGCTTAAATTACCCAGCATTCATTGCCTCTTGGGCTTTGCATATTTTTAATTCTTTTGCCCCTTTAGATTGCCTCCATATGCAGTACCTCTGAGTACTTACTGAGCTTCTCTACCACGCCCTGGGAACTTCTTCAAAAATTTGGGGCCACAATCCTCATCTCTGAGTCTTGAGCAATTTTATCCCAATGTTCGAAAGGTTGAATCGGGCTGACTACTCGGCCCATGCCCCAGCCGAGTACTCATCGGAGTCTCGGCCCATGCCCCAGCTGAGTACTCGTTGGAGTTCGAGTAACTCGGCCCAAAGAAAGCTGAGTAATGTAGCAGCTGAAAACTATTAAAAAAATAAAAAAAAACAAAAAAACACAAAAAATAGAAAAAACATATTGAAAGTAAAATTTAACAAAACCTAACTAATTGTGGTTAAAAAAGTAGTGAAAAAAATACATTTTTAAAAAAGACTTTGCGACGAGGGTTATTTTTGAAATTTCACAAAAAAGAAGGGAAAAATGTAAAAATAAATATTCATGGTCAAAATACTTTTCAATTTTTGCCAAAATGATTGAAAACATAAATAAACATGTTAAAAATATATTTTTTATTCTTTTGAAAATTTTTTATATTTTTCGGGCTCTGCAATGGTCTGAGCCCGAGTAACTTAGTTGAGTCGGCCCACTTTTCAAACACTGGTTTATCCTTCGTAAATTCAAAGGTCTGGAGATGAACAGAGTATATGAGCTTATCCTCTAGAAATGGTACACGGGAACCAACTGGGCTACTTAAATGGATCTTAAAACTGTCTATAAGCCCCGCCCAAAATATTTATAGGGGCAATGTTCTTCTCTGTGCAAAATTTTTCGGCTGAACCTTTTTTTGTTTTGTTTTCAATACACTGGATCTGATAAAAACAGAGTACTTCTTAGCCTAAAATAGTCCATTTAAAGAAAAGTACATTTTTTATTCATAGAAAGACTGACATTTTAAATCATAAAATAGAATTACAATTTTCTAATTGGTGAGTTTTGGTCTTTGTATTATTTTATGACCTTTAATGGTGAAATTAATTTGAGCAGTTCAATATATTTTGATGTTGATTCAGGGCTTGGCAGGATTTGCAATTCAAATGACAATCAAACTAGGGTATTTGTTGCTATTGGCACATTGATATGCAATACAGCGTTTATAATTTTTATTTTATGAATGGTACATTTTTGTATTTTATGAATGGTACATTTTTGTATTTTTAGTTAGAAATTTGGTTTCTCTTAACTGGAGGCTTAGACCATTTTATTTCTTAAATGGTTTTATAATTACAATAACCAAATAACTGTCACAAATTTTATCATCATCATCATCATGGTCTGCTCAAATGCGGACTATGTGCTTTGAAAGTTAAGCCGTCTCTGTCCGTCTTTGATGAGTATTTCCTTTGTCTAATTAAGTTAACGGTGTGGTTTGTATAAGGCTAAGGAGTGAGGCGCACCTATAAATAGTGTCAAAATATGTTGTTTTAGTATAAGAAATCATTGTGATGGCCTGAAAATTTATTTTGTATTTAATTATAAAATTTTAAGTTAAAATATAGTGGGATTAGTTCTATGAACACTCGAAAGTCTTAAAAGTAGACAGTCTAGATAATGCATTAGAAGATGCACTATTTCCAAAACTTGAAATCAAATTTTGTCATGTCCATACATCTTGAAGTCGAAATGATCGATTTGAAGATTTTTCAGCATTGAAACAACTTTTTTTAGTGAATTTTTGATGTGCATGTTAATTTGATTGTTTAGGCATCATCCTTATATAAACTTTTTCTTTAAGTTAATGACTAAAACATGGTGCAGATTTGGTGGTGATTTATTCAAATTCATTTGTTCCTTTTTCCTTGGTTTGATATGTGTAAGCTGGATTTGGATATGCAACGCTGGTTCACGTCTAATTCTTTAGTGCTTCATTATGGCAATTAAGCAAGAAAAAAGAAAGAAGGGAAACGAAAGAAAGGGTGTGGTTTGTATAAGGTTGCAATATTAAATAACCCAAGTAACGTGCACTTTTAAACTTTGTCATAAGATGCACTTTTAAACTTTGTCGTAAGATGCAATTTTGGTGTTGAAAATTTTTAGGATGGTGCGACAATCTATTTTTATCTCTAGTTATAAACCTTCAACTCTAAAAATTATTCAATTCTAGCTTATTTATAAATGCATGAAAATCTTGAAAATGAATGCTTAAGACTTGAAATCTCTCTTTTATATATATATATATATATATATATATATATTTATTTATTTATATGTCTCGATACCGTGTAAAGGAGGTGGGTTGAGTTAGGTAGGTAGCTAACATAAAATTTTGTTAAAATTTTTCATTAGTCTTGAATCAATATTATCTGTTTATGCTAAGGTGTTCCCATAAGCAATGCATTATATCGAAACTTCGGTACAATGAGAAATGTGCCACATTGATGGTATGATCATTGATAGAGCAGAATGGCGAATTAGGATTCGTGTTGCCAACTTCAAATAGTTAGAAAAAGGTTATGATGATGATGATCTATACGTCTCGATGTTGAAATGATTAATTAGATGTTTTTTCAATGGGAAAGCTTTCCTTACTTCCCTTATTGTGAAGTTATATACTTCCCCTTCATCCATTTGTCTTGTTTAGGTCACGTGAGTTACTAACCGTCAAGTTTTGATGCCTCATAGTATTTTATTTTTAGTTTTTTTTACTACAAATCATATAAATTTGAAATTTGGTATGTGTGGCTATTTCTATGGGGCGCTTTTAAAAAAATATTTATGATAAAATAAAATGATCAAAATACCCTTGAAGTATTTCTTTGCAGGTGTGAGTTTAAGAGATGAGTGGATGTCCAAAATTTGGTGTCAAAATGTTTTGTTAAAAAAAAACAAAAACACAAAACCAATATAGAGGCATGACATTGTGATTGGGTCCATCTCAACCGTCCATTAGATGGGATGGCTGGATAGGGGAAAGTATATAACTTTTATGTAGTAGGGGAAGTATAGAAACCAAAAAGCTTTCCCTTTCCAACATCAAGATTTTAGAGGTGAAGCTTAATTTTACATTTTAAGGTGCCAACCTCATATAAACTTTTCCCAAGAAGGGAAGAAACCTTAGTTGTGTTATCGGATACCAATTATGTTTCATGGAGACAAGTACATGTGTTTATTAGGTGTTTGATAGTCCTTATGCCATGAAGAAGTGGGTTAGATGAGATCACTATGTAACGTTTTTACTGGTATTCCATTTCATGATAAAGAACAAGAGATAATCAATTATACCTTAACTGGCTGAGTTCATAGATATTTTCAAGTTTCAAAAACGTTATAAAAGCTTACATGTCTACTCAAACAGAAAAATTCTCTCTCTAAAATGATATAATCAGATGAGTGATAAACAAGAAGAATCCAAAGAATTTGCATCGTATGTGTGTTGATACGTGCTGACATGGGAATGGCACCTGAACAACAAATTTCATGATACATGTTGTCCACGTTTGTCAAGTTCTCGACTTGACCGCTCCCCGGAACCATATGGGGGAATCTTCACTTTTCGCATAATGATATCTACCACAACTATACTGGGTCCATATCCATGTGGTGTATCATTATGCAAAAAGTGAAGGTTCCCCCATATGGCTCCTGGGAGCGGTCCAGTATAGTTGTGGTGGATACCATTTTGCGAAAAGCGAAGATTCCCCCCACATGGCGTTGTGGTAGATATCAATAACACACTGAAGAATAGGGCTGGCAATGGGCCGGGTGGCCCTGCCCAGCCTGTTTTTTTTTTTTTCTTGTTTTTTCCATTGTTTCTTATTCAATTTCTTTTGTCCCAGCCCAGCCCTGGCACGACTCGTTGCCACCCTTACTGAATACTTGTGAGGTGTGCATTTCAACTTGCTTTATACTGTCCAAAGGTGGCGTGCTCAGAAGTCGAAACCCTAAATAGTCCTTGTTAGAATAATGCTCTTGTGACTTGTCCATCTTAAGGTCTGGTTCAGTGTTATATCCAAATTTGGAGAAACATATGTGGACGTACGGCCATTTGGCAGTTGATTTTGCTTGGTAATTTGGATCAATTTTTGCAGGTTTTGCATCTTTGACGGAGATTCTCTACCACATAAAATCCATGAAGGAATTGAAGAGAAAAGGAAAGAGAACTTGTGAAAAGAATGTTGAAATTTGGAAGGATAAAGCTGTGAAATAAAATTGGGACTGTTTTGGTAGAGCAAGCTATGATATGATTTGGAGCCACAAACTCGAGAGATCTCCGTTCGGACCGAGGAAACCTTTGCACGCCTCTGTTACCTTTGGGAGGCCTATGTCTCCATAGAAACTCTCTACCTGAGACTGTCCTTTGGCCCAT